CAGGAGTGCGAATTGTGCAGAAGGCCACCCTAAGGCTCGGGAAGGTCCTATAGGAATCCATTTTGGGTTTCCTCATGTCGGTTTCATCCTTCTAAGTGTTAGAAGTCGATACCGCACACGCGAAACTCCAAGAGAGGACGGAAATAGGTCGAACTAAAAAACGAGGCGGGCACCACTTCTAAGGTTCTAAGATAGTCAAGGGAGGTCCCTAAGGCTAGATCCTAAACCCTAAGAGGAAGACTAGACCTCACTAAAAATGAGGTCAACAGTGTGGAAGCTAGGCAAACCAATATTTCTTGGTTTTGGCCAGTCATTAATAACTCAACGTATTTGTCCAATTGGCACGTTCAAAGGAATTAATGTTGGACTTATGGGATCATTAGCTATTCATGTGAAGGTTGGTTATTGGGGCCAGCTTTCCAAATTACTCCAGTTCACTGCCGACCAGTCCAACTACCCCCTCCGATTGCTGCCGCCACTTTTTCAGCCACTCTATCTCGCTGCCAGCCTTCCAAACCGCCTCCCAATCGCTGCCGACCAGTCCAACCACCCCTCCTACTTGCTGCCGCCTTTCCGGCCACATCTTATTTACTGCCGCCTTTTTCCAACCACCTCTAACCCATTTTTAACTCTACTTCTCTTTAAAACTGCAGCTCCTTTGTCTTCGCTCGCAGCCCTAGTGGAGTCGTGTTGTTCTTTGTTATTTTCTTGTTCCAAGTGTCTTTGATATTAACCCTATTTATTTTTGAGTAATAATATTTGCTTTCCCTATTGTGATTTTGGTTGACTCTAGTATCCAATGCTTTACTCAAAGTTTAAGTGGCACTTTTTATCCTTCTGCTGTCATTATTTAGGTATTATGATTGTGAATGCTATGCTCTTTTTTGAAATTTAAAACACAACTTAAGAGACAAATTTATCGATATTTTAAGCATACTTATTCCGTAGCTATTGAAATATTACTGTTAGAGTTGATTCAGCTGACGGTTTGGTGGAGGGGTCGGTCTATTCAATTTCGAACCTGGTCTCTCATACATGGAATTTGTACTGCCCCTGAATGAATAGTGTGAATAAAGCTGCATATGCTGCCATTTGTACCCATTTCCCTTCAAAGCCTGTTCTTATTTTTGCTTCTCGTTGTCTGATGAGACTTATTCCGCTAGGTCTCAGTCAGCTAGGCAATCTTTGAATATGCCACAAGATGAAGTAGACTTTCATATGTTACTGACATTTTTTGGGTTTGTTATGCAGTTTAAATGACAAGGATAGCGCAGTACTACTGAATGTGACTTGGTAATAAATGCCTTGGAACTAGGGAGCCTGCAGCCGTTGACCTTTTCATTTGGGAGCTACTATCCCAGCAGTGTTGACATTACAGGAGAACCAACCTAGGAAGAAAGTATGCTAGGAGAAGCCAGTTATCTAATGCCCATTCTGACAAAGAACTCACAATAAATAATTTTCTTTTGGAAAGTTGTTTCTTGCAATAAAAGTAGCTTCTTCACACCTCTCAGGAAACTAAACAAAGTGAAATCAAGTCTGAATATTTATTTTTACTTATTTTTACGTTGATTTCATTTTTTAAACTGTTTTATTAAGTCTTTGATATTATCATTTGCTATTTACTATATTAACTACCACTTTTTTTATTCGAATTGTTCTATGTAAGGTTTAAATTATTAGTAGAATTTTTCTCAACTTCTCAACTTATTTCACTAGAAAATATGAAAGAAAGAAAGAAACTTTAAAATATATGTTGCAGTATTCAGATATGCTACGTATGCCAAAATGTCAGACCGAATCCCTGTTAAAATGGATGAAATCGCATTGAAGTACATATATTTTGACTCAAAAACATATTTCATTTTGAAGTAAAAAAATTTAGCCAATCTAGCATGTCATTATGATTTCGCTCTCTTCTAACTATTCTGGTCCACAACATACTAGATTGTTTAACCGTTATTATTAATCATTTCACTAGTTTTAAAATATTTTTAGTGGATTTATCTGCATTTTTCCAGCCCCACTTGGTGGGATAAATGCTTGTTATTGTTGTTGGATTTAGCTTTTTTTTTAATTAATTTTTTTTTGCTTTTAAATTGTAATAATTTTAAACAATTAATTACTCTGTACAATCATTCTAAAAAGTGTTCTAGCTTTGATCCTGTTAAGGTGAGGTATCATAGGAGATGGGGGTCGAGCATACCATTTATGTCTTTCATATCACTATTTGCAAAGAACAACAAAGGTGAACCATTATGCTTGAACTTTAATCGTGGATCTGGATTTGTTGGAATTTCTGGAAGTGATGGAAATGTATCTTCGCTTTGGAAAACCTTACAATGTGAATTTGGCCATTTCGAAGATGATGATAATGTGAGAACATATGCAAATGCTTGCAAGGCATTTCATATGGTGAATCTGAAAAGCGACTGCGCTGTTGCCTTTGTTGATGAAATGCTAGAATTTGTTAAGAAGCCTGGGAATCAACTCAAAGTGAAGCTTTTTGATGGTTATGCTCTAGAAAAAAGCATTGCTGGGCTCCTTCCCCACCCCTTCTCTGACAATGCTCGTGATGAGTATTGCAAGTCTTCCGGCTCAAGTGGAGAGAGATCTGGATTTCACACTAATCTGCCACATGTAAACATCAGAGTTGATGATGCAACTTTGACCATCTTTCATGATGTTTCTGATATGGATGACCAACTTCCTCTCTTCCGGTGTCGGCTTGATAATATAGTTTTACTAGGACAAAATTTGGCAACTAAGCTAAGGATTCTAAGTTCATTAAGCGCTGTTATTCACCAATTTGATGCCAGAACTAATATCTGGTGTGTTGGATCTTACTATCATTTCTATCTTCATTAACTTGGTTGTTTCATTTTTTTATTTCTACATTTGGCATTTGCTGTTGAAGGCAACATTTTAAGTAATATTTACATTTTGAGTTATTGGATCTTCAGGAGGGAATTTATTGCTCCTATGGAATTTTATTTATTTTATCGTTCAAGATTTACACAGGCAGAATCTCAGATATCATGGCATTCCTGTCCATTTCTTTTTAAGAATGAGTCAGGTGAGGGCTGTTGTAAATATTGTTTCATTTGTTTTTAAATGGTTGCTGTTTTGGGCCAGCAGTGATTTTCTTCTTTCTATTATTTTTTCAGCTGGATGTATCATTAACAGAGGTTTCATTAGATGCACTTCTATATTTAGTTGGTGAATTTGATTTAGCTGGCCCTTATGCTGTACGACGGTTGGTAATATTTCCAAACAGCTGCAAGGTCATTTCTCCTTTTTCTTTGGTCTAGTCAAAGACACTATCAAAAATTACATTTACAAAAACATGCAAAATTTGCTTGTTTCTCTCTTTTTTTTTTTTTTTTTTTTTTTTTTTTTTTTTTTCATTTTTTGGCATCAAACGCTCATAGAACTGGGCTGTAGATGGGTTATATTGGGTTTGGGCAGGATGCAAATTGGGCTATCCGTACTTCTATTTTCCATGCCCTACTTGGCCTGTTATTGAACCTCATGCTTTGTCCACATTTGTTATTATTTGGGGTTTGGTTGGTGAATCAAATACGTATAGTTGTTTTGTTCAATTTTTGTCAGCCTCATAAGATTCTTCATGCCCATATCCGTGCTCACAAAACTATATCTGGCCAGATCACTTCCGGCCAATGTGTTGAACTGGGTTAGATTCTTTTCTTGTTTCAAGGTAGGGCTCATAGACTAGTGGGTTCCTTGCCTATTAGATTGCTCTTTGAATTCGTTATAAAGTGTAATACGCCAATCTGGTCATTATTGAGCACAGGTATCCCATCCCTACCTGACAAATTGTTCTGGTATTTAAATATACGATATTAATTACCTACAACAGAAGTTGTTGTCCTTGCACTCAATTCTGTACTCACTTTTCCGTTGTGCTGATTGTGCTTGGAAATTTGTGGTGCTCAAGTTTGCACATTTATATGGATGTTTGTCCATAATGCAATATTTATAACTAACTTTTTTGAGGACTATGATTTGCTTTTATTGCAGCTAGAAAATTGTACGGATCTTACTGTTACTTGTCAGTTTCCTAAAAACCAAACTGTGGTTCTTTCTCAGGGGCAGTTATCTTCTTTTTTATTGAGGTAATTTCCTCTTAAATTGATTCTGCTGTATATTGATCATACGATTTACATGAGAAGTGCCATTGAGCTATATCTCCAGCCATAACACCTGACTTTCAGAAAACAAAGTGTTGAGCTTGCATAAATGGGATAAGCACGTAATGGTTGATACCTTACTATATCTGGCCAGAAAACAAAGTGCCATTGAGCTTGCTTAAATGGGCTTCTTTGGCTGAAATTTAATGAAATTCAAGCTATGTTTTTGACAATTGTCATAATGGTTGATACCTTACTGCTGCTCGAACCTTTCCAGTTACATGAAATATTCTCGTGTTAACATTTGTAAGGACCGATGCTTAATTTTATTTCTAACAAGCGAAGTACCCTTTTTTTTGAGAATTGCTAAATGGAAATATGCATATCCTATCAGTTATTGGCCAGTACGTTTGTAGGACTCAATGAAAGTGCACCAGTTAGATTAAAGCCATCAGGGAAAAAACATGCATGCTTTATGTAATCTGTGCTTTTTAAAATTTCTTGACCATTACGGTATGTTTACCCTTTTTTTTCTTCTGAACTTTAGAGAATGGCCGAGTTACTTTCCATCATTTGGATAAACTAATAGACTGTCATAGATATGTTACAGGTGAAAAGATATGAGGTTTTGTGCTATTCAAAATACGCATTAGTACAATATTGTGCGGGTGCACACTACCCAACATGCACTTGTCAACGCTTCATTATTTATGTATGCGTGCTTAACTACATCTTATGGTTAATAGGAAAGAAGAAAAGTGAAATGGGTTGCAACTATTCTATTTTTCTCTTTTTAACCTCCGTATCCCATTCTCTTCTTTGAATAAGTACCTTATCCTTTCTTCTAACTTTCAAGAAACCATTTCAAGTTATCCTATCCAGTCTAACCTACTTTCCAAAACCCTTCTTGACATTTCAAACCAAACCCTACTTTATTAGGAGGATAACCAAGCTGTCCCAAGCTCTTGACTAGCCTAATCCAACCATGAACACAAATGAGCAATTTATTTATTTTTATTTAGTTATATCTACAAAATAAGAGTATCAAACGAGTCTACCATTATAATTGAAAATCTTTATAGAGTTGGTAATAATATTCCAGAGGATCAATGATGGAGTTTTTAATCATTTTTTTTGTTGTCGGTGCTATTCTTTTCTTTTGCTCATCTTGTTTGGGCGAATGTACCATCCATTATCTCTAGTTTGAGATAGATTTTTCATTTGTCTCTCTTTCTTGGGTTGGTTTTCCAGCTGTTGTGCTGTAGGACAATAAAGAATTTTCATCTCTTACTCTTGTTCTTGTGCCAATTGCATTATAACTCTCTTTGAGTGTAGTCTTCATAGAAAAGGAATGGATGCATTTGAGTATCAACTTCTGTCTTCAATAACTAGTCCTAATGGTCATCCATCTACTCTATTTACCTTATCATTTCATTTCTCGAACATAATTGTATTTTTTTTTGTGGCACACGATTTTATCATTTTTTTATGTGTTATGTTTTTGTTGTCATCCTTATTTGTAGTTCTACTATTTCTAAGGGGTGAGATGGCTGTTTTCCATTTGGACATTTTCATATGAGTAAATGATGTAAAGATGATCAATCAATATATAAGTTTTTGTAGAATTAGTAGATCTTTTGATCTGGGGCATCTTATTTACGTGGACTGAGGGGTTATTGAGGGCCGGCCGAACCTCTTGTCTTCGGATCGCCCTCTCTTTTTAAGAAGGGCCCCACTCCTAGTTATCTAGGAATATATATTTGCTTTTGCTGGTAATTATGGTTTAATTTTTTCTGTGATTTGTTTCTGGGCATCCGTTGACGTCTCTTTCCATCTACGGGTCATAACCTAGTGTTTTAAGTAGTGCTTCGACTGTATCTTAATTACTAGGCAGTGTTTATTCTTCCTGTACCTTTCCTCAATCATTTCCTACATCACTCCCCCATCCCCTTCATTATTTGCTTGTTGCCGCAACATAGAAAATCGGAAACTTGTTGTTTTTGCTGCGTCCAACCTGCTGTCGCCGCCCAGGGCAACAAATGTCTTGTTGTCCTCCCCTTCCAACTTACTAGTCGCCTCCTTGCCACCATCCCATAGATCCAAACCCTAACCGACAACACGTACACCCTATGCCCTAATATTTTCCATTATTATTTGCTTTCATCTTGTTGTATTTTCAATTTTTGTCTTTTATAAAATTACAAGTAATCGTGCTGTGTTTCTGCTATCATTTGGTATCAAAATTATTATAATTGTAGCTTCATACTAGGGTTACTAACCCTAGCTCTATTCTAAGGTTACTAGAATACACAAATGCCTAACCCAAACTCCACCTATAACCCTTTTTCCTTGCTAAAAAATTAGCTATTTTAACCTTTTTTCCGCCTTAACCATGCCATCAAGGAGACATGTACTGGATATCGATAGGGACTTTACCATGAAAGAGATAAGACAAAAAATCCATTGACTTCATTAAAGCCATGCTGAGTTTGAGGATGGCACCAATGGTGATATCTCCATTGCCACCATTGATCATAATAGTGATGCGCACAAAGGAAAGAGTTGGGATGATCTGAATCCCTTTCTTAAGATGATTCTAGTGAAGGTGAGGACGTGCCACAGTGCTTTGGACTCCAATATTAGAGGAGGTTGAGGAATGTATCATCTTTTGAAAAACTTGGAGGTATAAGAGTAAAGGTAGAATTACTAGATTTCGAAGGAAAAATAAAATCAATTGACTTCATTGAGTGGTTGCAGACTGTTAAGAGATTTTTTGAGTTTAAGGAGTTGACAACTGATAGGAAAGTGAAACTTACTGTCATAAAAATGAAGAAGAATGCCTTTTTTTTGTCAAAGAATCTGAAGAGGGTAAAACAGAGAGAAGGTAGTAGCAAGATCAACATATGGGAGAAAATGAAGGAGATGCAGAGGAGGTACCTACCCTCGCACTACTTCCAGGACTTGTTATTAAAGCTTCATCTCTTATAGTAGAGAGAGTTGTCGAGGAGTTCACAACAGAGTTTGAGCAACCCATGCTGAAATATGAGCTGATAGAGCTAGAGGAACACACTATAATCATATATTTGGAAGGTCTGAAACCAACCATCAACAATGTTGTCCAGCTGCAACCTTATTGGTCATTGGATGATGTTCAAACTTTGAACTAAAGGGAAACAACAAAGACAAAGGAGACACTCACCTCCATTTAAACAACCAACCACCCAGATCTGAAGATATTAACAGAAGAACACCTAGGGGAGTGTCAGTCTCCATACGACTGGATGTGGTTTAATTTAGTGTAATATAGTATTTAGAAATTAGACATTTTAGTTTGAAGAAAAAGTGGTTAAACTGATCTCATTGATTCCTACAGTTTGAATAATCGAGCTAACCACGTGTAATATACCACCTTGAAAGGTAATACACTACTTGATGATAAGCACAATTAAATAAACTATAGAAATAAATGACTTCCGTTTGATCTGCAAGTTTGCATGATGACCGACAGATTCCCCTATTCGATATGAGAGTCGAATAGAGTTTATTTTAAGTTTGGGTTATTTTAAGTTTTCTATAAGGGCAAGCCTCTATAGTTAATTACATCTTAAGTGAACGGATCACTTAAGAAAACTCTCGATAAAAATCAGGAATCTTTTACTTTCATGAATTCAAAAGGGTTTTCAACGAGCATGATTGTGAAATTTTCAATAGGGATTAGTTCAAAGGTGAAAGATTTTATTTTAAGAATCAAAGGAAGAAAAATAGAAGAGATTAAAGGTCCAGAATAGATTTTTGGCAATCCTCCAAACTATCCTAATGTTTTGCTCGATTTAGATGATATTAACTTAAGTTAACTCTTATAATTTTTTCTAATTAGAGATTAAATTTGTGTAATGATAATTTATACAAAAAAACCTAGAAAGATAGCAGGTTTTACGTCGAGTGACTACCTCAAAAACCTAAAACAAGTTAGGACATGCTGCATATCGGGACTATGCAGGAACCTAACTAAAAGAGAGATTTTATGTCATAAAAGACAACATCAGAATCCTAAGGATTGTTAATTAAACAAAATAAATGTCTTGAACGAGCTGCCCACGAAGTTAGCTCTGAAGTCTTCGCTGTTGCAGTAGTTCCACAGTTTAAGGTTTTATAATTTTGCTGTGTATATCAGGTTTTGTTATTGTTTTGGGTTTTTGTTTTGTTTTGGTTTTGGTTTCTGTTTTGATTTGCATGTCAAGTAAGGTAAATTGTCAAGTAAGGTAAATCAAGTAAGGTAAATTGCGGATAAATAAAAGGTACTAAAAAAATAAAGTGCAGTAAAGTAAATAAAAAGAGAATGCAGTACATAAAATAAATACGTATCTAAGCTTTTGCTACCGCTGCATTGTTAATATCATAAAGAAAAATATATTTGCAGGAAATTCAAATAAACTACAAGAAAGTAAACAGAAGCATCTGGTACAAAAAAAGTCAGAAAACGAGTCGTAATAAAACACAAACAAGTGAAAGAAAACTTGTAGTCACATATGGAAGACCAAGACTGTGTGTAAGACATTGGTAAAGGTTGGGGGGGGCTCAGAGCTGGACTGTGTGCTTCCCATCCTTGAGTAAGAGCTACAAACCCGATAATGTACGGAGGGTAGTCCTAACCTCGATCTAAGTAATTAACCATGGACATATATAAAATTTTTGTTTTCCAATTTTGATTTTCATGCATGTAGAATTTATTTAGCAAATAAAAAAGTATTTTTTTTGCAAAAGGAAATTTTGTTTTAAAATATTTCGTAAAGTAGTGCAGTTCACGGGTTAATTACCCTAATCAAACTAAGACTACTAGTAATCTAAGAGTATCGGTGGCAACAATCTCATCAAGAGTTGGTGAATAGTATCATCGGTTCTTATCCTCTCCTCTTACCAGGAGTTCTTGAGGTAAGAGACACTATTCTGATAATCCCACATCGTATCCCTTATTTAAACACACA